AGGAGCCAGGCTGCACAGTGGGACCTAGGTGAGTTTCTCTTAAGGCTTCTGCTCCAAACTCTCAAGCAAAACACTCTTTGCCTCCACTCTCAAACAGTAAAAGGGGAAGCAGCAATTTTTCACAAGATCATTCTCCTGCATGACTACTTAAGGAAACCAATAGGTCCAAGAGAAAAAGGCATAAACAGTTTTCCTTCTGTCCAGTGCAAGTTTATGCATCACTCTGGGCAAGATGTTCAAAATGTGCTACTGGATGACAATACTAAACACAGAAAGCCCATTTTGTAATGGAGTTTCATGAGCTCACACTGGTCAGCTATAACAACAGAACAGTTTCTGCTAGTACTGTACCCTTGTCAGCCTACACAAAAATAAAACTATAATAATGCACTTACTTGATCCTGCAGAAAAAGGATTTCACCTGGGCATATTCATACGGAGAAGCTAGTAAGATGAACACATTGAAAGTACCAGTTAATATCCTTTAAAAGGTCACACCTATCAGAAGTATGGTAAACTCTGCATTCTCCAGATTTTTTGAGCAAGACTGAAGTCTCACAAACTACTCTTTTAGCTACTGAAATGTCTGTTCAATAGTCTGCTCTCACCTCAAATATTTATCTCTCTTCTCTAGTCCACTCAGAGAAATTGCTGACCTGGAACTAAATTCAGAGGAAATGCAAAGGAAACAAACAAATCAACTAACCAGTCAATGCACTAAAAAAATTTTCTCCAGTGCATCACTGCAAAAGGGAAAGGTGGTATTTCCTGGCTTTATTAGTCAAGTACCAAAAACTATTTACAGACAAGAAAACCACAGCTCCACTGGGGTGCCACTACTGGCATCCAAGTTGTGGAATCCTTGGCATTCAAAACCTCCAGATGTCTCATATCTTTTGATAACAAGGACTTTGGACTTCTCAGAAGTGATGCCAGAACAACCCCATGTCAAGGTGGGCAAAAGACACAGTCTTGGCCTGCAAGCTACGTTTGAACTGCTCACAAATAACACAGCATTCAAAAGTCTCAGTGTAGACACATCCAGCACTACACAGCAAATCGGCTTAAAACTTGGGTTTGATGAGCTGTGCTCACAGCAGGCAGTGACTGGACCATAAAGACAAAGCACCTAAGCAACTGTAAGGTGTAGATTAAACAACTTTAAGCTCACAATCAGACTTACTTCCTTTTCAAAAAGCAGCAGTATTTTGAATTAGTAAGATGATACATGAAACAATGAAATATGTGCCTTTCATTTACCCCAAGTAAGAATTAAGCTGTCAGATTAGTTAGGAATGGTCCCATTGCCACTCGTTTTCAAAGTGGAAAGGAACAAATGAGGCTGATGCATATTGCTAGCACAAGCACCTAAAATGAACTACTACTCTGTCCTCATTCTGCAAAGACAGAAAGACACACAGAGCATTTAGGAGCATTGCCATGTCCCACCTGTTTGATTTTCCATGTTCCAAAGGGGCAAGTGAGACTGATCAGTGTGTGTGTAGAACACACTTACATCCTGAGGGACAAGCAACTCCACAAACCGGGAAGAATCCAACACTTTCTTCTTACAGTTCAGAATAGATGCTGCCTGCTCAGAAATATGCACTATGCGTCCAGACAGCAAAGAAAATACAGCCACAAACGTGTCCTGGAAAACAAACATTAAAGGCAATCATTGCCTGAAACACAGCAGTGATAAGGTAAGGATAAAAAAAGGAAAACCACCCCAAAACAAACCAACCAACCCCAAATCACCACACAACACAACCTTAGGCTGAGGTTCAGAAACCTGTTGGGTAGTGTGTGATCCACTACACTCTCCAGTACTGCAGCATTATACACAAGATTTACAAATGGTAGTAAGACTGCATTAGTCTCAAAACAGATTAAGGCTTGTCTTTGCTCTGCATAACTGGTTATCACTTCATACACTCCACAAATTTCAGGGGAATCATCACCATTCCTCACACAGAAACATTCTGAGAGCTTTCTAATATTTTTTGCATTTTTTCAAGCATTAGCAGTATTTTTGACACATCATCCAGCAGTACTGAATTTAAAAAAACACTTCTTTAAAGTTGTAAAAGTAAAAATCATAACATATATTGCAAAATATCAAAAAAATTTAATGTGGAATACAAAGAGAAACCAAAAGTCCCTCACAACTATGGATCTGATTGGTTTAAAAAACTTTCTGCTGTCTAAAGAGATTACTCTGCTGCAAATGAATTCTTAAAGAGCTATTTGTTGCTTCTGGCCAAAAAAAAAAAAAAAAAAAAAAAAAAAAAAGTATTTCCTCACTCACTATCGTTGGGTACTGACACAGCACAGACAAGAGGTAATCTTGATTTATCTTTAAAAACTTGAAGGTCTGTCTGGTTAAAATTTAAAGACCTTTCAATTTTACGCATCCTATTTCCACAAAAAATGTTAGGACAGTAAATTTAGTGAAATTGAATGAATTCCTTGAGTGTGCCTGAATTCTTACAGTGTTTTTTGGAGTGTGTTCAGATGCAACTGCCACCAACTCTTCTATGCTGTATGTCACCACATCTGCCTGAAACGCTCTTCGGTCATTCAGAGCCTGGAAAAAGTCATTGTTTGCTAATTGGAAAAAAAAAAAACAAAACAGAAAAAGCAAAACAAACACAAGGAAGTCAGTAAGGAGACTACTTTGAAAGTATTTCTTACAGCCCTTGTACTTTTGTCATCTTTTTGGTGAAGTCCAAGGAGAGATGAGAAGGTCTGTGTAGTGACAAAGGGAAAAGGAACACTGATTATACTACTGGAGTAATCTCATTTTGCTACAGAATACAAGCATGGAGAAGCAGTACAGTTTTAGCTACTTAGATCTGTGGGAAAACACAATCTAACCAATAATTTTTCAAAGTGGGATGGGAATACCATTTACTTAATATACATAGAAAGTTACTATTAGGCACCTCTTAGCTATGGGTCTCTGAAGTAAAGAGAGGCAGTAGGGGGTACCTCAACAGAAGGGATAACACGGTTGTTTAACAAAAAAAAACTGGCAACAAAACATAGTGCTTCAGAAACTCAACTCTTTGCAGGATAACTGGAATGCATTCTTTTAATGCTACTTGCTGCCATCTATGCAAATCATGTTGTTCTCCCAGGTTTTCTCCACACGTACCTTGGACCTGCTGGACGCACTGCAAGGCGTAGTTGAGAGCACTGATGGTACTGGGCTTGTTAGAATTCCTTTTCTCTTCAGGCAAACACCTTTTCATTTCTTGGATCATCATCATCATATCTTTGTGTGACTGGCTCCAATTCAGCTGCTCGCTGTAAAACAGAGGTAAAACTCCACCAAGGAATACTGGTATTGATTTTTTTACTACCACCCAATTAAAATTACTCCCTAAATTAACATATTATGAGAATGGCTGCAGAGTCATGTAATATCCAGGAACGTCCTAATGCTCATCCACTGAATTTCCTGTTGTATCTTTCTTACTTCTTTGCAATTGAAGTTTTTCCCCTCTATGTTCCTCCTTCCCAGCTCCAGTACCATGGATGGCAAAGTCACATTGAAACCACCCAGCTTGCTAAGATGCATCGCAACTAAAAATAAGATGATGTTTAGTCTAGATTTTCTAAATAACACAGGTATGAAAATAATTAATAAATGATGATTCTTCATCGATCTAAGGTTTTCTAGCCTTGAAGGCTGTACCTGGTTATAAGCATCTCAGGAGACTGTGAGGTCCTCAAAATACACCTGATGCAAAGATTACAGGCCTCATGACTTCAGTCTTCATCATACTTTTTAGCTGTTGACTTCAACAGCTCCAGAACTCTTAACAGATAAAATCTCCCTCTCCTTACATTTGCTTATTTCACGGACTAAAGAATAAACAGCCAATATCCTCAAATCACAGATTCTAATCCTACAGATGACATATGAACCCCATTTTTTAGTAAAACCTTTCCAGGCGACAGCGTCATTAGTATAGTACTCTTACTATAGAAATCATTACATAAGTGTAAGTATTGCGTGGTAACTTCACATGCCCGTCCAACGCTGCATACATCATAGCTCTTTAACTCTTTTTTTAGATTAAAAAAGCAAATTACTGAATTTCCGAACTCTCACAAAAAAATGCCATTTCAGCAATCTCTGTTTTGGCACAGCGAACCAGCCTTTAGCTGAAGTACACATCCAAGCTACCCGAGGGTCGCTGACGTGCGCGGCTCAGCCGATCCCAAAGGAGGCACAGCTTACGGGAGCAGCTCCACGCTCGGCGCACCCGCCGCGGCCCGTGACCCCCGCCGCCCCGGGCGGCACGGCCCGAGCAGCGCCCCGCTCCCCGCTCCCACCGAGCGCATCCCCGCGCTCCGCCCCGGTACCTGTTGGCTTTTTCGGCGGCCGGGCCGCCGCCGGACTCGGGGCGGTGCAGCTCGGTCCCGCTCCCCGCGCACGCCGCGCACCGAGCGCCCGCAGCCCCCCCGGGCGCCGCCGCCTCCCGCCCGCCGCCGGCCCAGGCGGCCGCGGCCGCGCCTCGCTCCGCGCTGCCGCCTCGCCGCTCGCTCGCGTCCATCGCGGGTCCGCTGAGCGCCACAGCGCGGGGGGCATCGGCTGCCGCGGCCGCTCGGCACGGCCGGACCCTCGGCCTGCGCTGCGGGGAGAGCACGCGCCGCCTCACGGGACGGTGGGAGGAGCGCTGCCCCCGCCCCGCTCCGCGCTTCCACAGCCGCGCGGTCACCGGGGCCGGTTCTGCGCTCCCGCGCCGCTCCCCCCCTCCCGCAGCTCGCAGCCGTCCGGCGCGGCGGCCTCCGCTCGGCCCTCCCGCCCCTGCGAGGCCGCGCCTCTCCCTCCCGCCGACCCCGGGCAGCCCCCGCGGCGGGCCGGGAGCGCCCTGAGGGGCCGCGCCCCCGCCGCGCGCCGTTACGTAACGGCGGCGCACGCGGCGGCGCCGCTCCCACACACCCGCGCCGCGTGCGCCGCGCCCCGCGGACACAGCAGGAGGCGGAGGCGGGGTCGGAGCCGCTTTTTATTGGAGGAGCCCGCGCGCGGGGGGCGGGGCCCGCGCGGGCGGGGGCGGAGCCCCGCCCCTCACGCGGCGCCGCACGCGGCCCCCGTGCGCGCGCATGCCCCGCCGCCACGTGCGGCGCCGGCCCCGCCCCGGGGCGTGGCCAAGGGGGCGGGGCCCGGCCCGGCCGCTGAGGCGAGGCGCGGGCCGGAGCTGCTGGTTAGTGATTAATGACGGGAGTGTCTTAAGGCCGCCAGTGAGGTTAGTAAACGTCGCGATCATCAAAAGAGTTTCGCTTTAAATAGCAGTAAACGGGCTGAGGAGGCAGCAGGCTTGAAGTGGAGAGGTTGAAGGAGATTCTCAAAGGCACCTTCGGTTGAATGGAGCTTCTTCTTGTAATTCATGAATATGCACTCCAGACTACAAAAAGAAAAAAAGAAAAGTTGGGCAATGTCCTTCATCCCCTCATCATAACAATCCTGCATTTTAAGAATTTAAGATAATAGAGATTAACCCTTAAATCTAAGAATTTGCCCATGTTGGTTTTCTCAGTTGATTAACCCTTAAATCTAAGAATTTGCCCATGTTGGTTTTCTCAGTTGTATTTTTCCCTTGTGTTCGCACATGGGACTATGTATCTGCTGTCAATGGTTACTGCTGTGCTTGTTACTGTTACAGCACAAACTTAAAAACTTTGTCTCCCCTTTAAACCCTCAGCAATTCCATGAGGACTCAAAGACTGAACCATTCCACACCTGGCTCTCTATCCTAACCCAATTTTAACCTCATTTCACTCAGCAGCCAAACCTCTGATCAAACCTCCCTGTTACGGCAGCGCACTCATAACTGCCACAAGAAAGCAGGAAGTCAAGGCAGATGATAACAGTTCTCAGACAAGGACAGTGTGTGGAAACTCATGTTACACTTCTGCAGCAGGCAGCTGTAAAATAAACCCAAGTCTGTTCCTGGTTTCCAAGTCCTTGCTATTTTCACTTTCACCTTTGTCACCCTCACTTGTGGTTGAGATTCCAGTACTGGAGCTCCCACGTTATCACAGTCTGCCACGCACTGCATGCAATTGTTGTTAAATCCATCACTGCTATTTCAGATTCACGTTGGATATACTCCAGCTGAGTATCCTGCCTTTGCTTAAACTGTACCAGTCAACAAATTAACACCATCCATTCCAAATCTAGGAGAAACCCCCATTTTGGTCAAACTTACTAATAATGATGACGATGATAATGACAACAACACCTATCAATATCGCCCACATCTGTGAAAAAAAGACATACAACACTTACTACACAGCATGCAACAGCACCAAAAGCCCCTCAGGGTACAGGAAAACAGCCCCTGCAAGGGACTTTTAGCACTGGTTGTCAGATCTAATGTAGCAAGCAAAGGTTCTTCAGTCAGCAAGCTTAATCCACTACTAGCACTCAGAGGTGGCAGGCCATGCACACAGGCAAAAAGAGCAATATGACTTTCTCCACATAAAGCCTGTCCCAAGTGAATGCACAAGCTGTTCTGTTACTCACCAAAGATGAATCCAACCTTTGGCAACAGCTACAAGTACAGGAGTCTGAGTGAGCTTCTTCCACTTTCTAATACTTCCCACACATTAATTCAAGCTATGCATTTTTAGCTTTTTCTTCTTGTTTCTCAAAGCCTCAGATTACTGACATGCTTCCCTCTGGCCATTATCAGACAAGATCCTGCCTAGGGCAGCACGGCCGGTAACACAGCTGCTTGTTACTTTAAAAAGTAATGCCATGCTTTAAAAACTAGATGCTGTGACTTAAAAAACATTGGCTAAACATTTCCTGCCTTTTGAAACACAGATGTGACAGCGTTACAGGCGCAGAGTGAGCACACAAGCCGAGGTTACCTTGCAGTTCTTCCACCAATACTTCCTCTTCAGCTTGGCAGCGCTGGTCTCGAACTGGGAAGCCCCTGCTTGCAGGGCATCAGCACGGTCATCCAGCTCTGACAGCTTCTGATCCCGCTCCAAAACCTTGTCCACGTTCACTCTCATGATGTCAACAACCTACAGCAGTTCAACACTTACAGTAAGTGGTGTGCAACATAATCACAGACAGCAAGCAGCTGCACGAGGTACTCCGTGCTTTCTCAGAAGCAGGAGCTATTGCCTTTTAGTATATTCAGCCATAAACTTCAAGAAAACTATGAAATCCACTTATGGCTAAAAGCCCTGAATGCCTGTTTTAAAAAGTCAGTAGTGCTGGCATGCCCTCAGACCTGGGAAACAATTCCTGACTTGCTTCAGAAGGAGTTGAGGAATATAAACATGATAGTAAACCATGTCAAGAAATACTTGCCAGCCTGGCTTTTGGACTCCACAAGAATCACATTTGGTAGCCAGCTCTCATGGCTATAAACAAAGGTTTTTGTCATTACTTATGCCAAATCTTGCACCAAGACTGCAGCTGATGTTTGGACACTGGGAACTTCTGTTTGCTTCCCCTTCATATAATGAAGGGAAAACTGCTCTGGAAAAAAATATCCCTTCTAACTGCACAGGTTTCCTGCAGGAAGAGGCTGACACTACTAGCAGACCAGACTTTTACCTCGTCTACTTGGTGCTGGGTTTGCTGAAGCCGGCGATTGCTGCCAGCAGCCATATTTGAGCTTCCAGGGACATTGGCCGACCTGTGGTAAAGAAAGGCACCATTAGACATCTGACAGTCCTGAAAATGGGACACTGGTATCCATGTAATAAATACAGGGCACTTTCTTACTGCAGAAATGGTGTTTTAACAGCTGTCAGTGAGCACAACTCATGCAGTGTCCCAAACATCTTGTGAACAAATTGCATGCTGTCCCAAGAGGCAGCAGTGGCTTGCTAACACCACACATTGCAATGAGGCAGGGGTCAGCTCCAGCAATGCTCCATAGGCCTCAGTGAGCAATTTGGACTCAGGGTGTTCTTTCTTTCCCATATGAACACAGGTACTAAGTTTCAAGCAATAGTAGTTTACAAAAAATAAAATACAAAAACTTAATACTTATTATAGCTATGTGATTTTCCAGTGACACTTCTGTATTCTTTTGAAATGGTTGATATGGAACAAGAGAATGCACCAGAAGGAAAAAGTATTTGGAAAACACAAAAATTTACTTTTGGCCAGCTTTAAATTCGTAACAGAGTTCTTTTTACCAGCTACAACACTCTGCATCTTTATAACGGATGCAAGAGCTTCTGTACATACTCTTCATTACCTTTTCACCACCTGGCCAGGTTTTAATGCACATCTCTAGAACTATCAGCACTCAATTTCCTTTTCCATGTTCTTAGCTCTTTCACATCAGATGTGAAAGCTTGTTTAGTGCACCCTGGCACTCCAAGCAGCCAAGTCTGTTTCCTGTGTATACACATTTAGACATTGGCCTCTAACTGCACGTAACGAGTGCAGGCACAGCGCGGGAGCCGGGGCAAGGCTCGGAGCCGGCACAGTGTCACTGTTTTGGCACCGGAGCCGGGGCAAGGCTCGGAGCCGGCACAGGGTCACTGTTTTGGCACCGGAGCCGGGGCAAGGCTCGGAGCCGGCACAGTGTCACTGTTTTGGCACCGGAGCCGGAGCAAGGCTCGGTGCCGGCACAGTGTCACTGTTTTGGCGCTGGAGCCGGGGCAAGGCTCGGTGCCGGCACAGTGTCACTGTTTTGGCGCTGCCACCACCCTTTGGTGCCGCTTCAGTGCCAGGTGAACAGCCTCGGAAATGACAGCGCTTCCTGCGAGGCTGCAAACAGAGCAACGCCCCGGTGCCGGGCAGGGCGGGCCCCGCTCCGAGCCGCGCCCGGGGCTGGCGGGGCAGCCCGGCCGGTGCCCCGCTCCCGGCCCGAGCAGCGGCTCCGGCGGGCGGCCCCGGGCTCGGCCGGGCCGGGCCTCGCCTCCGCCGCCGGCCCCGCCGCGCACCCCTCCCGGCACCCCGCCCGCGGGCCGGACCGGGCTGGGCCCTGCTCCCGCCGCCGCTGCGCCCGCCCCGCTGCCCGCGTCCCCCGCTCCCCGGATCGCCCCGCTGCCCGCGTCCCCCGCTCGCCCCGCACTCACATCCTGGCGGTGGGACGAGGACGGGGCGGCGGCAGCGCCCGGGCGGGTCCAGCGGGAGCTGCGCGCGGCGCCCGCGCTGACGAGTCACGGGGCGGGCTCGGGGCGATGGGCGGGACCCGGGCCGGGCTCGGGGCGGGCGCGACGGGCTCGGGCCCGGGCGGGATAGGAACGGGGGCGATGTGCGACGGCCGGGACCGGGACAGGACCGGGACGGGGGCGATGTGCGACGGCCGGGACCGGGGCGGCGATGGACCGGGGCCGGGGCGGGACCGGGGCGGGGGCGATGGGCGAGAGCGGAGCGGGGCGCGGGGCGGAGTCGGACCGGGGCCGGGCCATGGCCCTGCCCCCGCGGGCTGCAGGGGCGGGGCTGCGGCCGCTGCCGGGCGCTGGGCCGGCACCGCCCGCCCCGGGCGGGCACGGGAACGGCAACGGCAACAACGGAACGGGGAGAGCGGCCGGGCACGGACACACGGACAGACACAGACACACGGACAGACAGACATGGGCACACAGACGCACACACTGACAGGGGCACGGACACGCGGGGAGGGACGCACGGACAGACAGACACAGCCAAGAGCGTTCCGTGCCGTTGTCACTCGTGTCCGAGCGCTCCGTGCAGCGCACGAGGGGAGCCGGGGGTGTGTTTGTCTTTGTCCATGTCCTTATCTTTGTCCTTGTCCCCCGCCCTGGCTGCAGGGCCGCCCCGCGCTCGCCGCCCGGTCCCGGCGGGGCTGGAGCCGCCGCTCCCGGCAGCCGCACGGAGCTGTCGGTGCCCCGAGCAGGGCCGGTCACGGTCACACGCCGGGGGTCGGTGCTGCCGGCAGCGCTCCCGCAGGAGCCCCGGGGCTGCTCCGCCAGCGAACACCGAACTCCGCAGGGCACCGGTGGGAGGGAGGCGCTGGCTGCCTTTGCACCACGTATTCTGAGTTATCTTTTATTTTTCCCCTCCTTATCAAACTTTATCTCATCCCGGGCATTTCTTTTTCCCTCATGTTTGGTCTTCAGTTCTCTCCCGCGATGCCCCTGGGGATGAAGGAGGAGGCGCCTTCTTTCAGGACTGGGTCAACCCGCCACGATAGGAAAGAACCCAGCAACTAACAGCTATGTAAGATGGAAAAATGGGAGCGATTTGGAGAGTTAAATGCTGATTTATTCTAAAAGAGAAACGTAATCAAACTTTCTCTGCAGTCAAGAAGAAACTCTTATTGAAATCTTCAGTTGTGGAGCTGGGTTTTGGAAAAGCTTACTCATGATGGTACTAACACAGTCTCTGACAGACCAGATAATTAATTTATTAAACCTGCTTTCAGGTTTTGCCTGCTGGGCTTGCCATTAGTCTGGTACAAGTTTTGTTCCCGAGGACCAGTTCATGTGAGCGGAGCAACATACTTATTAGCGCAACAGTTATTGTGTCTCAGTTAATTGTATCATTAAATGTGACCTCTCAGGTTTCTGCATCAGCAGCCCTCTTGAATTCTGCTGTTTCACTCTGCTTTGTGTACACTGTAGGATTTATTTTGCTACCAGCTCTATATGGTTTCTCACAAAAAACCTTGGAAGTGACTGCCCACTGCAGAGGAACTGCAAACAAAGTTCTGGGGGCTGCACCTGCTCATGGGCAGGCTGTGGACTGTCACATCATAACCTGTAAGAAATCAGATGCAATATTCTTACAAGCAGGTCGTGTAGAGCAGAAACTTTTTTTTGTGTGTGGTTCCTTAAGAGTGACTAAAGGACTACTTTGTTCTCAAAGAAGGATGGAAGAGGTGTTCAGAAGAAGAGACGTGTTCAGAAGAAGGCACACACTTTGTATGGGGAAATTTTCTTTTTTAATTTACAGCAGAAAGAATATAAAGCATTCAGAAAACATTTTCCATATTTTAAGGGCAATTCAAAACATTTTGCATGGTTCCAGCAGCTGAGTTCTTCAACAGATCCATTGATTCAGTGATGCTTTACATGCACAGTTACAAAAATAAAACTTACAAAAGAGAAGACATCTATACTAGTTTTACATGCAAGTCTTGGGGACCCCCCATTGGGCACCAGCTATTGTGTGGAACTGCCATAAGCGTGCAACCAGAGAGGGGGTTCATGTTATATTCTGTATTTCTTTCACACAGTATTACTGCTGTCGAATGTGTTTCACAAAGGAGCGATTCTATTATCAGAAGACAGAAAATCTGGCTCCTGGCACTTGGGAATTTGAATTTTCCTAGAAAGCTGCACTTACTTATCTTAGGTGAAAATGTTAAGTTCCACAACCAAGAAGAGGGTTCGAAGAATCACTTCACTGCGGGGGAGAGCTGCTCCCTCCCCAGTGACACACTGAAGGGTTACGGCCCGACACAACAAAGCACTTGGGAGCTGAACTGGCTCCAAGCACGCCAGGAGTCCTGGAGCTGTGCTGCAGAACTGCCTGCATGCTTCACAGCCAGCACAGGCTTAAACGTTTGGCTGAAGCAGGATCTAGATTAGTAGATACACCACCAGGCCCATGGATCTGGAAGAGTAATTTGAAATAGCTCTGTATATTACTGAATCGTTTTCTGTAAAGACGAGGAGTTAAAACATTTCCACTGAGGTCACTACTCTTGTTTGGAACAGATCAATTCTATATTGTCACATATTGGTTAATGGGTGCAATATTTCAGTTTCAAAATGTCAAGAGTTCTTCCAGTACTAATACAGAGCATTTCCAATTCATTCCAAAGGAGATTCTCCAGCGTCTCCTGTTCTGTTTTGGCGTGAGAAGAAAATTTAATGGTTAACGTTCCAATTGCAGACAGTAAATTGAGGCCACGAGGCTGCCCACAGGCACAGTGTGAGCGCCAGGCCATTTGTTTTGCTTTTTTCCCTTTTTTTAAAATTGAATCAGGTCATAAAGCAGCAGTTCAGAAATGTACAAGAGAATTCTGATAATGAGCTATAGCACATCTACTGTAATTCAATGCTGGCAGTGAAAAGAAGTAATTAAAAACAGGTACAATTATAGAAAAGGCACCAAGAGCACTGACCCCAGTTTTTTTGCCACAATCCTTGTTTTTACTCTTCTTTTAAAGACACCAGTTTCAAAGCTTCCTATGTGTGAATATTTTTTGGCTTCACAACAAGCCTTGCGTTTAAACATTGCAGTTGGTGGCCGGGATCAAGCAAGAACAACTATTCCAAAACTAACAATCTCAAATTTACACAAGTTCATTCAGAAATTTTAAACTGCCACGAGTGAGACAAACAGACAGGAGCAGTTTCTGATCTCAGACACATGTACGTGACCCACAAGTAATGACACGGACTTCAGGAGTTTCTTCCCTTACATTCCTGTGTAATGAAGATCAGAACTGGTTCCCATTGTTGAGAATTTGTGACAGTTTTAAATTAGTAGCTCAATTTAAAAAAAATCTAATTTCTTTGGCTCCTCACTATGTGGAAATAGCAATATACCATGACACCCCTACAGGATCAGTTTGCATCTTTTTTTTTTTTTAAGTTTTACTTAATTTTTTAAAATTTTTTGTGCAATTTTTATTACATTTTCTGACTTCCAGCAGGAGATATGAAAATGTGAAACATATTTTCTACTTTCGTACTATTTATTTATTTTTTTTCATTTTATGTTCATTCTAAGTGTTCTTTATTGGAGTGAGTGTATGGTGTTAAGCTAGATACGGTTTTTGTACTCTTATGATTATCTGCTTTGCAAAAGTAACTTAATTTTCTTAAGCAATATTAGCATTCACATTACTTGGCACCATTGGCAAAAAAAAAAAAAGGAAAAAAAAAAGACGGGGGTAAAAAAAAAGAAGGAAGGAATACATAAATTAAACCCAACTGAACCAAACTCCTGGTAGCCAAAATCAAATGTAAACATATCCTTTTTTTCTTTTTTTTTTTTTTTAAAGTAATGTTGCTCTGCCTTTTTTTTCCTAAGTCTAAATACAGTAGCTCTTTTTTGCCATTTAGTCATGCTTTAGCAAAAATGTTCTTCTAAAGAACATTTAAAATAAAGTTTCTTATAGTGAAATAAAGTTTTTGTTTCATTTTACAGACCATAGCCACTAATGCTTTGCTTTGTTCATTTCTTTTTCTTGAGTTCATGCACATATCTCTTTAATATATACAATATGTACAAACAATACATCCACACTCTTCTCGTTCATTCAGACAAAACTATACAAATAATAATTTTATCTTGCCAAGTTATTGACCCTTTGTGAATAAAATATTTAGTAATTAATCAATATATTCCCTTTCAAATATTTTTTTCTCATTTTCCATTTCTACCTTCTATATATACAGAAACTGCCCAGATTTTGATGAAGTAGCCAAAATAAGAAATTTACTGGCCAGAATGCAGCACCACTGATCTTTAGGTGGCATAAAATGTCCAGGCAACATATGTACGTGACTCTGCAAAATGACAAGAGGTTTGACAAGTACATAAGAGAAAAAGCTACATGTTTTACAAATTATTTGAGAACTTAATTAAAACAATAGTACATGAAGGTAAGGCTAGAAAATAAAGTGCTGAATATGAGAGGAAGTACATGACAGTTGATATGTTTGCAGGTTCTAGTAAAAATACAAAAAAAAAAGTGTAAAATTTGCTTAAGCTGCTCTCTCCATTCCTCATGCAATACCCGTGTCTCTCGTACACCAAACCCCTCCTGTAAGTTCCCACGGGATGTATTAAAAACCTGCAGATTTAAAAAGTTGCATTAAGTGTGCTGTAGAGGTTTAAATAAAACACAAAGGACAGGAGTGCGAAGGAAATGAGGATGCATGGACCCAATAAAGATGTACTGATCTAAGCCCCTCCACTGAGACTCTCAAAGCTTCAGTTTCTTGGAGATGACTGACAGGTGCAGGAACAGCATTCTTGTGTTGCTTGTGCATTCCCACCTTTTCTGAACAATATTTTTGGTATAATATTTGTACAGTTCCACATGTTGTTTAATACAGCCCTATATGAAAAGGATAATTAATCGCTTCTTCCTTCCTCCTCGGAGAATGAAGCAACTCACAATTTCCTCCTGGTGTCTTGTTTTCCCCACGATCCAACAGAAGATTGAGTTCCAAGATGTCTTGCTGAACAAATTAAAAGTTGTCCATGAAAGTGCAAATGCAATGACCAAAACATTACTGTTAAAATCCTGCAGCTGGTATTTCCAGAACTGCAGTGGGTATTTTTGTTGTTGTTGCATGTCTCTGCTAAAAACAGAAAATGAAAACAGTCTGAAAAGCAATGTCACATTGCTACGGGATGCTGCTGCGTATCTTCAAGTTCCTTGGCCTTTTTCAATTCTTTCACTCTGAAAAAACAAAGAGGAGCTATGTAACACTTCTACTGCAAATCTCTCAAAGACAGAATAATCAAAAGGATTCATCACTCCAACATCCCGTGCAGAAGAGGCGGCTCCCAGAGACACGACAGGAAAGCAACACCTTCCCAACACCATAAACAGTTGGAAGCGCAGAAAGGGCCTCTGGAGATCCCAAACACCTTTGGAGAGACACACTTGGGTCCAGCTACTGCTTTTCCAACTAGCTGGGCTTCATTGTGATGCCAGCCTGACTCCTTGGGGCTCCCTGGACTGCTGCTCCCTGCCTGACCTGCAGCTGCTCACGGCAAAGGGGCTGCTCAGAGCTGACCCTTTTCTCCACACAGTGCTGAGGCAGCGACAGCACAGTGGGGGAAAATCTCTCTGTCCAGCTTGGAAAGGAAGCCTGGTGTTTACAGAGAACCTCACGTAAGGAAGTGTTTATGTACAAGCACAAGAACAGGTGTGGGTGTGAAGGAAGGTGCTTTGTTTCACAAGTGCTCCAGCTACTGTGCCCTGTGTTTCATCATGCTGCTGGCAAAATGTTTGTGTGTTGTCCCAGCAGTGCAGGATGCTGTGTGCCAAGGGAGATGGACCTACAGTGTGGAAGTCACTCTTCCTAGATGTGGCCAGTTCTCAACTTTCCCAAATGCATGCCATCCATTACCTCCTCTAACTCATCAACACAAGAACTAAACCATCACTGAAAGCTGAAAAAGTTAAAAAATAAATTAAAGGGTGAAAAGAAGGGAATAATTTAATCCCATCAAGTGAAAAGGAGCTCTGCACTGGAGCTGGGGCAGCAGGAAACCTTCTGCTCAGGCTGAGAAGCTGGCTGTATGCAGTGCAAAGGAGCCAGACCAAATCCAAAGGCATTCCCGTGCTGTCCCAAAGGTGCCCAGCTGTGCCTGGGGCTGGCTCTGCCTCCACTAACAGGGAGTTCCTCTGCAGTGAGATCCCTTTGCATCCTCCACATGTCTCCACTCTGCTCCTGCAAGGGGAAGTCCCCCGCAAAAGGAGCAGATTACAGCAAAAAAAAAAGTGATTTAGCTAAGCCTGTTAGGCTAGAGTGCTCATGTGATGCTGCAAAAACTTGAAAGGACAAGTAACAAAGGTATAATACAAAAAATAGCATCAGAGTT